GTAAGTAACACTTGAAAACAAGGGCTAGGGATTTCACACATCTGCTGGCAAAATCTGGCGGAAGTGACCTGTGCTCGAACAAAACACATGTAAATACCGCGTGAAGACAAGGACTAGGGATTTCACACATCTGTTGGCAAAATCTGGCGGAAGTGACCTGTGATCCAGCAAAACACCTGTAAATACCGCGCTAAAACAGGGGCTACGGATTTCACACATCTGCTGGCAAAATCTGGCGGAAGTGACCTGTGCCCGAACAAAACACATGTAAATACCGCGTGAAAACAAGGACTAGGGATTTCACACATCTGCTGGCAAAATCTGGCGGAAGTGACCTGTGATCCAGCAAAAAACCTGTAAATACCGCGCTAAAACAGGGGCCAGGGATTTCACACATCTGCTGGCAAAATCTGGCGGAAGTGACCTGTGGTCCACCAAAACACCTGTAACTCAGATCCGAAAACCATAGATCGCAAGGGGTGTCACCCTAAGGGTTTTTGTAATAAATATGTTTCAAAAACACAAATCGCAAGGGGTGTCCCCCTAATTAATTAAGGTTTTGTAAGAACTCCATTACTAGAATCACAGATCGCAATGAGTGTCCCCCTAAAAGGCTTTTTCAACAAATAGGTTCCAAAATCACAAATCGCAAGGGGTGTCACCGCAAGGCAGGGTGGGAGAAGCGGGGGAGAGGCATGGGGTTAAGGGCAGGGGACTGGGGCCCTTTTTCGGGCTTGGGCTGGGGTTGGGCAGGGCTGGTAAGCTTGGAATTCGTGGCTGCGGCTGGGCCACTGGGGCTGGGGTTGGGCAGGGCTGTTGGCTGAAATTTTGGGGGCGGCTGGAGCTGGGTGGGCCGGGCCATGGGGCAGGGGGGGTGGAGGCGGGCTGGGGGGGGATTGTGGGGGCTCGGGTTGGGGCTGGGGCTGAGGGGTGGGGGTGGGGGCTGGAACTGGGGGCTCGCGGATTATACAGGCTTTCTGCTCGATCAGAGATCACTTCCGCCAGATTTTGCCAGCAGATGTGTGAAATCCTTAGCCTTGGTTTTGACGCGGTATTTCAAGCTTTCTGCGTGATCACCGATCACTTCCGTCAGATTTTGCCAGCGGATGTGTGAAATCCCGAGCCCTTGTTTTAACGTTTCTGCGCGATCACCGATCACTTCCGCCAGATTTTACCAGCGGATGTGTGAAATCCCTAGCCCTTGTTTTAACGCGGTATTTACATGCTTTCTGCTCGATCACGGATCACTTCCGCCAGATTTTACCAGCGCATGTGTGAAATCCCTAGCCCTTGTTTTGCCACGGAAAGCTGCTAAACCCGTGCTCGGTTTTAGTGTGGTATTTACAGCACTTTGACAAGGTCGCAGCCCGATCGCAACAAATTTTGTCACACAAAGTTGCTAAACCCCTGCTCGGTTTTAGTGTGGTATTTACAGCACGTCGACAAGGTCGCAGCCCGATCGCACCAAATTTTGTCACGCAAAGTTGCTAAACCTCTGCTCTTCAACTTAGCGCTTTTCGGATTCGGCTGGGGCGGCTCTTTCTTGGTGGCGGCTTCGGGCGGGCTGGGCCTTGTTCTGGAGTTCTGGAAAAGAGGGTTGGGGCTGGTGTGGGGTGGGAGTCTTAGCAAAGCTGGTGGTTGAGGCTCTGAGGGGAGCGCTGGGCTGGGGCTGCAGGCTGGGGCTGGGGAACTGGGCGGGAGGAGGCAAATGGGCAAGGCAAGGCACCGGAAAGCAGCCGAGGGGCGGGGAGAGCTGGCCGGTGGGGGCGGGCGGCTGGGACTGGGCTGGGGGATAGGGGCAAAGGCAGGGGGCAGGGAGCAGGGGCAGAGAAGGAGAGCTGGCTGGGGCTGGGGGTGGAGGCTGGGGGGGGCGGGCGTAGAGGGCGGGGAGGGAGAGCTGGCGGAGGCGGGCGGCTGGAGCTGGTGGCGGTAAAGGGAAGGAGCAAAAACCGGTGTAGGGGCTGGGGGTGGAGGCTGGTGAGAGGGCTGGAGCTAGAGGCTGGGGGCTGGGTGGAGGCCACCGACACCTATTTAAATTTTTAAAAATCTTTAAAATCTTTAAAATCTGAAAAGCTTGGTTTTCAAAAATTAAAGATTTTAAAGATTTTAAAAGCCTTTAAAATCTTTAAAATCTTTAATATCTGAAAAGCTTGGTTTTCAAAAATTAAAGATTTTAAAGATTTTTAAAATTTTAAATATGTGTCGGTGGCCTGGAACCCAGACCTAACGATTTAAAATTTTAAAAATCTTTAAAATTTGTAAAGCTTGGTTTTCAATAATTAAAGATTTTAAAGATTTGAAAAAGCCTTTAAAATCTTTAAAATCTGAAAAGCTTGGTTTTCAAAAATTAAAGATTTTAAAGATTTTAAAGATTTTTAAAATTTTAAATCGTTAGGTCTGGGCTCCAGGCCACCGACACCTATTTAAAATTTTAAAAATCTTCAAAATCTTTAAAATCTGAAAAGCTTGGTTTTCAAAAATTAAAGATTTTAAAGATTTTAAAGATTTTTAAAATTTTCATCGTTTAGTCTGGTTCCAGGCCACGACAACCCTGGTAAAATTTTAAAAATATTTAAAATCTTACATCTTTAATTTTGAAACCCAGCTTTTCAGATTTTAACAGAGTTTAAAAGCTGTTAAATCTTTAAAATCTGTAATTTTTGAAAACCAAGCTTTTCAGATTTTAAAGATTTTAAAGGATTTTAAAAGCTTTTAAATCTGTACAATCTGAAAGCTTGGTTTTCAAAAATTAAAGATTTTAAAGATTTTAAAGATTTTTAAAATTTTAAATCGTTAGGTCTGGGCTCCAGGACACCGACACCCATTTAAAATTTTAAAAATCTTTAAAATCTTTAAAATCTTTAAAATCTGAAAAGCTTGGTTTTCAAAAATTAAAGATTTTAAAGATATTAAAAGCCTTTAAAATCTTTAAAATCTTTAAAATCTGAAAAGCTGGTTTTCAAAAAATAAAGATTTTAAAGATTTTAAAGATTTTTAAAATTTTAATATGGGTCGGTGGCCCTGGAACACAGACCTAAGATTTAAAATTTAAAATCTTAAAATTTGTAAAGCTTGGTTTTCACTACTTAAAAGTAAAGATTTGAAAAAGCCTTTAAATCTTTAAAAATCTGAAAAGCTTGGTTTTCAAAATTAAAGATGTTAAAGATTTTTAAAGATTTTAAACTTTTCAACATATGTGTCGGTGGCCTTGAACCCATAACCTAACGCTTTAACAAGTTTTAAAATCTTTAACTCTTTAAATCTTTAAAATCTGAAAAGCTTGGTTTTCAAAATTAAAGATTTTAACAGATTTTAAAACTTTTAAAATCCTTTTAAACTTAAAATCTGAAAGCTTGGTTTCAAAAATTAACGCTTATTAAATATTTTTAAATTTAAATAGGTGGCGGGGGCCTGGAACCCCAGAACCTAACGATTTAAAATTTAAAAACTTTAAAATCTGAAAAGCTTGGTTTTCAAAAATTAAAGATTTTAAAGATTTTAAAAGCTTTTAAAATCTTTAAAATCTGAAAAGCTTGGTTTTCAAAAATTAAAGATTTTAAAGATTTTTAAAATTTTAAATCGTTAGGTCTGGGCTCCAGGACACCGACACCCATTTAAAATTTTAAAAATCTTTAAAATCTTTAAAATCTTTAAAATCTGAAAAGCTTGGTTTTCAAAAATTACAGATTTTAAAAGCTTTTAAAATCTTTAAAATCTGAAAAGCTTGGTTTTCAAAAATTAAAGATTTTAAAGATTTTAAAGATTTTTAAAATTTTAAATCGTTAGGTCTGGGTTCCAGGCCACCGACACCTATTTAAAATTTTAAAATCTTAAAATCTTTAAAATCTTTAAAATCTGAATCTTGGTTTTCAAAAATTAAGATTTTAAAGATTTTAAAAGCTTTTAAAATCTTTAAAATCTTTAATTTTTGAAAACCAAGCTTTTCAGATTTTAAAGATTTTAAAGATTTTAAAAGCTTTTAAAATCTTTAAAATCTGAAAAGCTTGGTTTTCAAAAATTAAAGATTTTAAAGATTTTAAAGATTTTTAAAAGTTTAAATCGTTAGGTCTGGGCTCCAGGCCACCGACACCTATTTAAATTTTTAAAAATCTTTAAAATCTTTAAAATCTTTAAAATCTGAAAAGCTTGGTTTTCAAAAATTAAAGATTTTAAAGATTTTAAAAGCCTTTAAAATCTTTAAAATCTGAAAAGCTTAGGTTTTTTAAATTTTAAAGATTTTAAAGATTTTAAAGATTTTAAAGATTTTTAAAATTTTAAATCGTTAGGTCTGGGCTCCAGGCCACCGGCACCTATTTAAAATTTTAAAAATCTTTAAAACCTTTAAAACCTTTAAAATCTGAAAAGCTTGGTTTTCAAAAATTAAAGATTTTAAAGATTTTAAAAGCCTTTAAAATCTTTAAAATCTGAAAAGCTTGGTTTTCAAAAATAAAAGATGTTAAAAGCATCTGAAATCTTTAAAATCCTTAAAATCTGAAAAGCCTGAATTGGTATAGTATTGATAAACAAAGCAAAGCCATACGTCAAATAGACCCTAAAGGTCCTACGTACATATATATATATATGCATACACGTATATATGTGTATGTGCATGCGCATATTCTTCGCATGCCCGGTAGAACAAGCACTTGGAAAACCCTCTCAGGTTGTCCTTATTCGGTTTTGGTCTACGGCTTGCTGGCGGGGCTCCAAGCGCTACATTCAGCGCGGCTCACAGGAAAGCGAGGAGGGACAGGACTCGTCCGAGCATGTCGGGTTTCGGGTTTTCGGCCTTTAGGAGCCGGAGGTTTCCATATTTTAGGGTTTCGAGGTGTGGAGTTTAGGGTGTCTAAGGGTTTAGGGTTTGAGGCTTGGGGGTTTAGGCGCTTCGGGTTTCAGGGTTGGAGGGTTTCAGGGTAGTCAGGGTTTAGGGTTTCGATGGGTTAGGTTCAGGGTCAGGCCAGGGATTCAGTGCATCGAAGGCTGCAGGTGTGATCATGCAGGAGCCCAAAGTCTGGATGCTCTTTCGGCGACGGCGCGGCTCACCGGGGAGCACCAGTTTGAAGTGAAGGCCACTTCTCGAAGTACACGAGCTTCTGTAGCGAAGATTCTCGATTTAGCAGGGCTTGCATGGCACGGCTCATCCTCAGCACGACTTGACAGGAAGTCGCAGACAACTGTCCCCTCATCTTCCGTGGAATATGGGTTCCAAACAGGATCGATGAGCATGCAGCAGCCTACACGTGGTCCTTTAATTCGTTCTCCCGCAGTATGGAGGGTGCCACCTGTCGGCGCTTACGTACTCTGGCACGCTGGCTGAGCCCCGGGCTTCCCGTTTTCGGTAAGGTACTGTGGGTGCTGGATTTCTATGCCGTGGAGAACACCGGCAACCAAAGTGTTGCTTCCCTGGCCTGGCAAGAGCCGCCTGGCTTCTTACAGCGCCTTCCTCGTAAGGGCTCGAGGGATCCTGACCTGGACCTGAACGCAGTCTGCTGACGAGGTCACATGTCTTGATCTATGTCGCACGATTCAATGCCGCCAGCAGCATGTGGGCCTTCCCGGTTCAGTTTTTCAATTCGGGAATGGCCGCGGATGTTGAGAAGGCGCGATGGTCTTGCACCATCAATCCTCGCATGATCACTTCTTAATGTTGTCAGATTTTCAGCGTTTCTGCTGATAGTACGCATGCCTGTGTCACCCGCCAATGTGGAATGATTTCGCCCTGGATTGAAGGAGGTTGTCCTACCGCCGTTTGTTCACTATGACTTCGAGCAACCTGATGCAAAATATGCATTCTGGTAGTTGGTTGGAAAGACGTCGGCGAGAGGGCTGAAGTTGCCAAAGCCTAGTGAAAGCTCGCACCCAGGCTTCTCCACGGAAGTCTCTACGAAGTTCGCAGCACCATGTCCACAGCAATGAAGACTGCTGCTCTCAAGGGGATCGAACGCATGTGGGGCATATCGCTGCTGGAGCCCTGGGCTGCAGTAAGCTGACCCCCTCTGCCCGATGTCAGCCTAGTCATAGTCAGATGTCAAGCGGGTCGAATTTCTTTAAGCCAGGAGGCTAAACAGATTCATCTGGAACTGACCGTCCTGTTGCCACTTGATCCAGACTCTGGTGTTGCTAGGCCATGTTTCGGAACAATCGTTTCCTTCACCTCCTTGCGCCGTCGATGCTCCTCAACATACGAGGATGTAGACAGGAAGCTCCTGTAAGGCTCAAGCACAGAGGCAACCGTCAGAAGGTATGTTGGGGTGTAGAATCGCATGAGTCGAGCGACACCAGGGTCGCAAATGAGCCTGGCTGGGGGGAAGCTCCAAACGTTGGGGGCCCTAAGCCCAGTCCTCGAGAGGACGGTGCTGCCGACTAGCTCCGAACTGAGCCCAGGAGCATGCGCCACAGCTCCTGCAGCTCCTGGAAGGTAAAGGTGCCGGAGCTCGAGCTTTAACGAGGGCTTCATGCTCGGATGGATTGGTGTGAAGAACTTTGGTACTGATGATGACGATAATGGCTTTTCGCCAGCGGATTCGTGGTTGCCACTCCTCTTGATGATGCATGTTGACGTGGAATGATCTGATTCAGGCTATGGTGCTCATGATTACTGTAGGAGTTGGGCCTTTGCGATGGTAAGATATTGGAATGTGTTTGCTTTTGGTGGCCATGGCCAGTCTTGGTCGTTACTTGCACTGACGAGCGTTGCGAGAACCCAATAGAGGAGCAGAAAAAGAACTTCTGCAGAACTTAGCGTGATGAGAAACGGAACAACATACCAATGCCGATGCTAGCGCATATTGTGCCGCAAAGCCACAATCAACGATGACATGAGCAGTCGGATGAAGTGAAGTGAGCAGACTGTTGCCATGCACATGCTTCAACGGACAGTGCAAGGCCCACCTGTGGAAAAGAACAGTCTTGTAAACAGCCGAACAAATCAAACCTGCGCCGTAGATTTCACTGTAGGCCCCAGACGAAGCAGAAGGGGCGATCAAAGGTAGGAAACCGGAGAGTAGCAGCAAGTCGCACAAACTGGAGTTCTGGTCCGAAGGCTCCGGGCTGTGCGTGCTTGAGTTTTTTTTCTGTTGGGCGACTGCCTTGATCGAAATTGTGAGGGGCAGGAGCTTCGGTGTTCTCATCAACCGCCGAAAAGAGAAGACAGTCGAACGATGTCGCGAGGCACATCAGCCTTCCCCGGCTTGAACCGCAACCTGAGAGTGACTGTGCGCTTCATCAAGCAGATCGAGCTTTGCAAGCCGCTGCACGACATCATGCCCCTCTGGCTGCACGCAGAAGATTAGAACTACACGCAACACCTTGGTGCCTGGGTGCTGCCCTTTCACCCTTATCCTGGTAGCCCTTATTTGGGCTCTCATACCCTAAATAAAGCCCCTGGGTGTCGCCGTAAATGTAGTGATTGATAATCGCAACTGTGGAAGCAGTTGCAACAAAAATATTCAGGCAATAGAAGTCGCCACAATCAGCTCCGATCTGGTGATAAAGGTTGCCTTGGGGAGTCCAAATTCTCTATAGAGGTTCCAGGATCATTTGGAGGGTTTGGTGATGTTTGGTGGATCCGAGAAGGTTTCATACACTCGTCAGGATACTTCAGGGTTTGATACCGTCAACCCTCTGCCTATACCCGAAACCTTAAATCCCACACCGTAAACCCTACGGATACCCAAGCTTGATTTTACGGAGTTCAGAAAAACGAACCTTAAACCCTCAGCGGATATTCAACCCTAAACCCTAAACCATAAACCATAAACCCAACCCTCAGCGGATATTCGGACAGCACTGCGAGCTTCTCGGCAGGACAAAGGCCAGTGGGCCGCCGGAGAATCTTCTTCTGGCGTTCCCGCCGAAGGATCCGGCGGCACCGAGGTTGCATGCTAGTGGTGTTAGTTAGGGTTTAAGGATTCTAGGGTTTCGGGCTTTAAGATTTTGTCGGGGCTTTAGGGTTCAGGGTTTTCGGGTTTAGGTGACCGAATCCGACATTTCGTATTCTCTGGAGTTCCTCTCTTTGCCTCTTTGGTTCAGGACGCACAGAAGGAGATCGTGACGGTGTTCGGTGCCGGGGTGCCCGATGTGAACCAGCTCATCAACCCTGGGGACGTGAGACCGGTGGGCACCTTCGTTCCAGGACGGGCCATTGCAACTTTTTTTGCATAAACCCTAAACCCTAAACCCTGAAGAAAGTGATAAATATAAATTCCTTGTCCTTGTTTGTAACCGCCTCAACGGCCTAGCACACAGGTGAAAGACTGAACAAGCTTCTTGATAAACCAATTTCTCTACAACCTTCATGCCAGGCAACCCAGCCCAGCTCCCAGCCCCGGGCCCCAGGCCCCAGCTCACCAGCCAGCCCAGCCCAAGCAGCCTGACCCCCAGGCCAGCCCAGGCCCGACCCAGCCCAGACCAGCCCAACCCAGAGCCACCCAACCCAGCCAGCCCGCCAACCCAGCCAGCCCGACCCAGCCCAGCGCCAGCCCACAGCCCAGCCCACCCCAGCCAGCCCAGCCCAGGAGCCCGACCCAGCCCAGCCCAGGCCCAGCCCAGCCCAACCCAGCCCAGCAAATTCTTTCAATCAGAAAACTTTCGGTCAAAACGTTTCGGTCAAAACTTTTGAAAAGGTTTAGGGTTTGCCGCTTCCAGCCGACGCCTGAAATATCAATCAAATGAACCAAAAACGCCATATGCCCCGACCAGAAACTGACCTCTCCCAGGAGTTCCTCTTGAAAGTTAAAATGAAAACACATGGAAAAGGGTTTAGAGTTTACGGTTTAGGGTCTGCGGTCGACGCCCCTCAGCCTCCAGTTTCCAGCCCCAGCTCCCAGCCCAGCCCCAGCCCCAGCAGCACAGCACCAAATTTTCCAAAATCAGTTGTCAGTCAAAAAACCTGCTCAAAGCGTTTCGGTCAAAACGTTTCGGTCATAACGTTTTTGGCACCTAAACCCTTAACAATTTCTATAAACCCCTAAACCCTAAACCCTAAACCCCTAAACCCTAAACCCACTCGAATTCATCAACTTCCATGGTTGCGCCAGGCCAGCGAGCTGCAGAAGGTGGCTTGGCTCGCGACATTTGGGACGGAGGATCCTAAAGTACCCTAAACCCTAAACCCACCAAACGGGGCAGACGGGGCAAGGCCATGGGCTCTCCGGACTCGAACCGATCTGAGTATCGATGACTCAGCTTTCGCGCTAAATGGAGCTGCATCCAAGCGCTGAGGACATACCTTCGAATGGGAAAGGCGGGCGGGGCTTGCTGAGAGCACATGCCGATTTCAGGTTTGTGGGCTGCAAGTGGCCGACTTGAAAGAGCTGGCAGGTCCTACTTGGCATCGCCATCGCGGCATCTCTCGGATGAGTTTGCGCAGCGTGCTCCGGATGCCCCAAATTGAAATTTTTTACCGTGAAGTCAAGAGACCTTCGGAATGAAGCTCTCAGAGACTGCTCGCGGCTGCGCTCCGTACTGAAGCGCCTGACAGTGTGCCTTTCAGGTCATGTCGTCATTGCATGCCCTTAGGGACACAGCAAAAACTGGTGAGGAATCCTCAGCAGACAAATGCTGGGGAGTCGATGCAACCCGAAGACAAAAGGGGCAGGACAGCAGCCGCAATCTTTTGGTATCCATCACTAGTACTTCTCACACTTTCCACTGAGTTGCTAATTGGATATGTTCCGGCGTTTAGGGAGTCCGTGGCGCTGCGGGCGTGTCGTGGGGAAAGGATGCCAACCTTTTGGGAAAGCAGTGAACCTGAGGCAGAAAGCCTGGCGATGCTCCTGGGTCCAGTGTGCATGGCCGGCTGGGTTTGGAGAATCTTGCATCTTTATTATCTCGTTGAACCCAACTCTCCGAGAAGCTTTTCAAACTTGTTCCATTTCTGCGGCTGCCTCGAGTTCGCTTGTTGTTTGAGGCAAGATTCATAGTGGGTTGGTCGAGGCTTTCCTGCCTCTTTCATGGTCTGAGATTTGTGGTCTTCCGCACTCCTCATGGCTCTTTTACCGAAACAGGAAAGTTCAGTTGAGAGAGAAGGAGAGAGAGTGAGAAAGAGCGAGCATCCTTCCGAGTCGATGCAAATCCAGCACGTAGCTTTGGAGGGCTTGGGGACCTACCTCTCTATCAGCGCGCACAACGGGATACAGCGCCTTACGTCGATCCCTCAGATAACAGTTTGTCTTGTTCTGTTTTTCCAGGAGTGTTAGCCTTTCTGCCACAAGTCCGGGTACCTTCGTTCCATAGGAAGATGCTTGGTACTTGGGACACCCAGTACAAGATTCAATGCGGCAGCATCTAGATTAGACATCTCGGGAGTAAGAGCCTAACTTCCAGCGGATTCCTGGACCGGCTTTCTGCCCAGGCCGTTTCTCCAGGAGGACTGGGATGAACCTCCAGCCGCACCAATGCCATGCACTGAGCTTTCTGGACCCGTCTGACCAATGCCAAAAATGCTTCAGACCAGGCCGACGGTGGCCCCGGATCCGAGGCACTTGCAGTTCGTTGCACTGTAGCGACTCCCGGCCTGAGGGCTCGCGAGAAACCGGGAGGCCATCCGCTGCCTTGCGCAGTGCCGCGCGAGCAGTCGACGGGCTTGGGGCTCAGTTCGTGCGCTTCTTTCTGCGCCGTGGCTTTGTGTCTTAGATGCCCAGCCGTGTCTTCTGCCACGTGCCAGGACGCCGCCAGTCACTTCCCAAGGGTGCCTCCCTTACAGCGAATCAAGACATTCCTGACCAAGCAAGCAGAGATTTCTTGCGGCAGCCGCAGGCCTTGCAGCTTTAGACAGTTGCAAGAAGCATATCACTGGCCATTTGATGGTAAAGGCAACAGAATCGTAGTCCCTTCTGTTTTGTACTACGGCGTTTTAGCCAAGTTGGGGTGGGGGGGGGGGGAGATGCGAGGGCGGGGCGGGGGCTCGGATGGACACCAAAAGCCCGTGCTTCGGCTGCAGGGAGGAGGATGAGGTACCCAGTTTAACCCCCAAAATGCCTGGGCCTGTGGGTGTAGTGGATTGGAGGGTTCCTCACTTGGTTTCTATCATGAGGTCTTGACAGCTTTTGCAGTTCATGAGGGCAGCTCCAGCTGCACCCCACGAGGCGCGACACTTATGTGCATTTCAGCGGCCAGTCTCACAAGCTGGAAGATGGCCGGCTGCTCAAAAAAACGCTCTCAAGTCACCTGGTCCCTCTGCCACAGATGCCGAGGTTGAAGGCAGACAAGCTTGCGTCCCTTTGTGGGAGGAGGGCTCAGGCGAAAATTGGGTCGTGCCTCATATCGGCTTACTTTGGGTTCAGGTTTTTGAAATTGAATTTTCGCAGCGAGCAGCTTCTCTGTTAGCCTATATGAATTCGCGTAGGTCCCAGGTGAAGAGCAAGATGAGATGCGTATATACGCAAGCGAGGACACGTACTCAGGAAAATGTAACTGTTCGAAAAATGCAACAATCCATGAATTCATTCGGATTTACATTGAATTGTTAAGAACATCGTTAGCTCTGATTTCAGATTGAAAATATAGGTTCTTCAACTGGAGTTCTTGTCTTCTACCATTTTAAATTTTCATATCTGTTTCAAGTATCGTACGAGATCATACTTATTTGTGTTGGTTTGAGAGTAGGAACATATAATTAGTTCATTTTTTCGAACAATTGAAAATCTGTAAGATTAGTGGTTTCTACCGATTCGAGTAGTATGTATACTATGTTTAGTAAACCTTTTATATTTTATATATATACATATGTATACGATCGTATAAATTGAATGTCGAATTTGTATGTTGGAT